CCCGCGTTGATCATTACCTTCTGACGTGGACGTCCCTAGGCCTTCAGCCATCTCGTTATTTGTCAAGGAGAGAATCTTTCTTGTTACTTGTAACACAATAATATCTTAGTAGTAGTTAAAAGCTTTATTTTTTACTAGGCGCGTATTTTAGTAGAGTGTTGTATTAGCTAAACTATTAAACACACTGACTAGGTACAGTATGGTTAGCTAATGAATCCATTATCTAACAACCCAATCCGCCCCTCTGGCTGACCTGCCCAGCACCCGCCATGACTTCATGGAATCTTGCCCAAGACCGTGTCCCCTGCCTTCGGCCTCTGATAGAACTTCTCCATATCCACCTCTGTCTCGGGCGGCAGCTGGTGCGCCTCTGCCCATTTCCGTATAGCCTCATAGTCGCGACATCGGTGCTTCGTGTTGAAGTCGACAAACGGCATTGGCTCTGGCTCGCTGTCAGGTTGCCACCACACCTGACCCAGCACGCCTACGTCCGGGTTGCACCTGCCCGGTTCGTTAGTCGCTGTATGGCTGATGAGTCACCCGAAACTCACATGAGGACCTGTCTGATAGTGTCCAAGCAGTGAGTGGCATGCACCCGCACAATGTACTCGCTATTCACAAATGCGCCCTGCTTTTGTGACAGATAGTAGTTGTAGTTCCAATGCAGCGTCTTGCGAAGGAGATCCTTCCAGCAGTCAATATCAGTTTATTTGCACACAAAGTTGGCACTTACAAGACAATGCAGGTGATGTAGGCCCTCGACGTTGGCTGGGAAGCCACCACCGTACTCCTGACTAATCTGCACCTGATCATGACGCAGTCCAGTTCGCTCCGCCTCGGCCTCGGGAATCACTATACTTCGATCTCGGACAACAGTCAACGCAAGTCATCAGTATACCAACGACACTTACAGTTGATACCTAGTGCATCCCACGCCGCATCGACTTCTGGCCCTGCCGACTGCCGATAAGCATTCTTGTGCAAGAAGCTTCCGTTGAACAACTGCACATGCCAATTCGGCTTCACATCTCTGACGACGGGTGCTGCCAAGGTCATCAGCTGCCACCAATCTTCGTTCATCCAGGCTTACAGTATTGCGAGATGTGGTGAATGCAAAACTCGTCAGCATTGACGACCGAGGTCGTTCGGTTCATATGGAAAGCCATCCATAACGTCGCGCCCACGTATACGATAGTGCACAGCACATACACCCTTACAGCGACCCGAATGTCGCGACTTGGACGGTACAAAGCAGAGGGTTTGAGGGGTGGCGAACCCGAAGAAGGGAGTGGCAGCAAGCTGTCGCTATCTTGGCTCTCTGAGTCCCGCCGATGCAGGCAGTCATGTTTAGGCTGACGGTTAAATACTTTCAGCATTTTGGATATGGCATGAATTTGCCTCGAAGATGAGCCGGAGCAAAGGGAAGCAGAGTATTCTTGACAGCAGCGCGGCACTCATAAGACCCAGATTATCTCCAGCAAGAGCATACACGGTCAAGTCAAACGCCGTCATGTCCCATCTGTGCCCGATCACTACTAACTGTACAAATCAATCAGTACCACAGGTCCAGTTGTGTACGACAAGCGGTAGTACAGCGACAGATGTCAAAAATGTCGAACACGTTGGTACGCAGATACAAGAGGCAACATGACCACATTGTTAACACCACCTGATCTGACTCTAGAGGTGATATCGCTTGGCGCTAATTATCCTAGGGCTACTTTCAACATGTATCCAGGATCCGACCTGTCACTGTCGTACAGCGCTGTTGAACAGCCTGCATGCATGTACACAATCACCTGCATACACTCATACTTCTTTGTTTGCGATATATTGATCCCAGTACACTACCTGGTTTACTGTATGGACAATATTGCAACGAGTACCACCGTATAGACTGGTCTCGGTGCACCATCTCAGCCTTGGGACAAAGATGACAACGGGACACAAAACCATTCATATTCTAAGGCCCTCATCGTGCAAACAACAAGCCCCACAATTCAGAACAGGAAATCTATGTTTTACATGTGCCACAGACACACCGCCTTGAGGTCCTGGAATGCGTTATTTGAATACAATGGGTCAACTTGACGATAGCGCAGACCCAAGATAGCACCAGGTAACATTCCTACTGTAAGTTTGCATGTCTTACAGCATGCGGCATTGGGAGCTAACTGTAGAATTGAGCCAGTGCTGCAGGGTGCTGAACGGATGGAACCTAATGCTGCATCTCGATTGCTAGCGTGCATGTCGGAAATCTTGTCAAGGACAAAGTAGACAAGATTGTATACAAAAGGACCATTCCCATATCGGATTCGCAGCATCATCAACTCATACAATCAGCAGTTTTGAGCAAACAGTCACTACTTGGCGTTTCCAAACCCCTAGTCTTCCAAGAACTCCTCACCATGCATCCTGCATCCTTTCTTGCATGCCTAGTCGGCCTTGCAGTCGCCGCCCCGCTGGGAAAAAGCATGTCCAACCCAGTGAAGCGCGAGATAATGCAGCCCGTGGTGCAGGACTACGCGAGCTACGGCGAATACTACACAAAATACGGCGACTACCCTGCCGAGGCTGAAGCCACAAAGATGGAAGCTGCAATAATGGAAGAGGCGAACATGACCAAGCGCCACATGGGCATGAGTATGTCAGAAGACATGGCCATGGATGCGGACATGATGGAGAAGCAGGATATGGCTGTTTCTATGGCAGAAGCAGCGACTGAGCATGCCGCCAATAAGGTGACATACCAGAAGTATGAGTAAGTCTACCTCTCCTTTTCTTTTCGGTCAAGAGATACAAGGGCTTTTGTGTGGGTTCTCTATGCTGACAACAATCTTCCTACAGTCCATATAGTGCGTATGGAAAATATCCCGGCGGAGGCATGGCATAACTTTGATGCCTTCGCGAAGAAGTTGGATCACTAGTAGTTGTAGCAGTCTCATGTGGGGTATATGTCTGCAAATTGTTCGCCTCGCACTTGGCCAGGTTCTGTACCCTGCCTTTCTCTCCTTTCCTTACAAAACAGTCACCGATTGCCTATCGGTCCTCTTCTGGTTATATATATATCTAAATTTGCGTAGGGCTAACGAACAAGCAATGAATTGATGAGAATAAGCTTAGTCTGGGCGTCATCTTCCATGCTACCGCACTGACTACATGATTGCTTTGGAGCGTGCGTGCGCGTGCAGAAGATTATCACCACCTGCGGGAATAACGGCGTACAACTAGCTCCTGTTAAACTTGGTGGTGCGCTCAGATGCTCCGGGGGAAAAGGCTACTGGAATAGCAATTCCAGTCTACAGACATATACATTGCATCGCAACACAGCAGACAAACGGATCAGACAACGCTTACAATATTCGCAAAAGAGAAGAAGAAAAAAAAAGGTAACGTAGCCCTAACAGTGCGTAGCTTACCATTGTCCTTACCCTCTTTCTTTTTTATCCAACGTCAGAGTGGGGTCGCAAATGCATCCATACTTACGGCTTATCTACTACGTACGTACGCACGTATGTACACCGGGTCTTTCCCAGTTGACCCCACACGACGCAAAAGACCAAAAGTAAATGGTTACACAAACTAACCCGGTTTTCGCTCTTTACCCCTCTCATCCTTTTAAGACCGGGGGGGAGGGGAAATTAGATAACGACTACGCTGGCTTGTCCTATAGGAAATCAAGATCAAGGTAAAGGAAAAGGCGATAGTCGTGTATTTGCACGTGGCCAACGTGGGAAGGTGCCAAGTATCGGGCCGTTGGATGGTGATGGTGGTGGTGGGCATGCACATGTGCGAAGGGGAAAAGAAAGGAAAAACAATGGGGTTTTTCAACATGCGCATGCGTTGGCAAAAAGGGTAAATGGCTAGTGGTTCGGTCGAATCGGAAAATAAGGCAAGAGCGTTTGCGGGGAAGAAAAGGGTGAAATGGGGTTTAATGTGGCTGCGTACCTCACGTGGCCTTTATTGAGGTTCTTTGGGTTTTGACTGCGAATGGGAGGGGTAGGGGTTAGTGGTGGGCTGGCGGCGGCGTGCGTGCGTGCGTGCGGGCTGGCTGGCTGGCTGGTTGGCATTGGGGTTGGGGTTGGGCATAGTGGCGGGCCCAGTAGGAGGAGGACTAGCGTTCAGCCCCGCAGGAAAAAAAACGAGTGAGAGGAGGACAAGGCAGGGCGAAACCGGTGTGTGGGCGCATCATGGGGTCCCGCCCGTTTCTTTGCAACGGACTGACTTTTGTCGCAAAAGCCACCGAGTCGTGGTCTGATTTTCGTCTTTGGAAGGGGGGGTATGGTAAGGTAGACGGGCCTATCCGGTGATGCTAGAATCATTCAGCTTCTGTGCGGGTTTAGAGTTCAGCATGTCTGTGTCAGGCAAGGTGAAACGGGGCTTGATGACGTTCAAGGGAAAACATGGGGCGTCGGACGTGACGTGCAAAGAGGATCGACTGTGCGTATGTGCGTGCATGACAGGAGGATGCATGGTGGTGAAAGAGTGGGAGTGGGAGTGGGAGTGGGAGTGTCAAGCGGGCCAGGGCAATCTATGCAGTACGCACGTATCGAGTGTGTAGGGTGTAAGCAGTATAGTAGGTACTTACAGCACTTGCAGTACTTACTCGGTATTCCGTACCTACTACTATCTCGTGCAGACTGCCCGAGTGATAGGATTGCCTAAAAGCGATTGCCAATGATCGTCTGGTGCGTGCGCCTAGGCAGGGGGCGGGAGGCGACCTTGTGTGCTTTTGTGCTTGGTGATGCCTGAGTAATCAGGCCCTGTCCAGAGCGAGAGCGAGTCCATGTGGGGAAGCCCACCGCATCGCCGTCGCTTGTATCCCATCCCAACCCAAACCTGCCGCCACGCGATTCTAATCGACCAGAAGCAGCCTGATGGCGTCTCCATGCCAGCCTCAACAGGCAAGGAGCGGGCTGGCCAAGCTGTGCGAATCTCGACGGGAGTGCGCGGCGCCATGGGACCGAACGCAGCGACCACTGTGTACCTAGTAATAGTAGAGTACACATAGCAGTACCGGCCCAGCGTCAGACAAGCCTGCACCAAGCACCAAGCACCAACCCGCCCTTTTTCGCTGCTAATGCTAACCCGCTGGCCTTGCCCATTACATTGCTCGCCGTCATCGTGCACCTCCTCGACCACCCTCAGCCAACCTTTTCTGCTCGCGCCAAAGCCGCCTGCGTTGGCTGTGACTTTGGCCTTGTAAATGTCTGCGTCGCGGTGCTGACGTTCATTTCTCGTCCCCACATAAGTACACAGCCTGCGCTTTGATATACCAGCTAGCGCCCCACTGCCTTTTGGCTCCAAAGCGCCGTGACTATCCTGTGGAGAAATCGGAGCCTCTCCCATTTGCTCCCAAGCATCTCTCTCGTCCGGTGCTCCGAGCCCCCAAGGCACAGCACACAGCACACGCACGCCCAAACCGTCTGGAACACCGCGCCACTTTGCATCTCTGCCATGCTTCTCTGCCCTGCAATCAACACGCTCACATGACTTGCTCGGCTCAAGTTTGGAACACTAATGTGACATTGCCTCGGCATTGCCTTGCGACATAGCCATCCAGGTAGACACGAGCGCAACCCGTTCGTCGAGACAGTCATGGCCGACTCGAGCGCCACCGCAACCTCGATAGCCGCCCCTTCGCACCCGCCCTACGACACCGACGATTCCCTCATGTTGACTGACTATGGCCTGTCTGATTACCGAGCCTCTCCAAACAATGTCGGCACCAGCCCTGCAAACATGATGGCCTCGCTTGCCGACTATGACATGGCCTTCGCCCAGGGCCAGTCATATGCCTCTAATTTTGACGGTCTGCAGCCAAAAATCGAGCCTGGCTACGCCGACCACAGAGGCAGTGTTGGCAACATGAGCGACGCGGGTATGAGCGGTGCCGGCAGCAGCGTTCACCCAACCAGAATGAGCATTGGCGGAAGCCCGGCTCACGACGGGAACCATACGAGCCCGGAGAGCGCGCAAGCCATGAACATGTTTGCCATGGGAGATGTTTTGAAAGACGCCTCAGCTAACAGCATCAATGGCACAGACCATTCGACCACGTCGAGACGGAGTAAAGATGATGTCCAGGATCCGCCACTGTGGAGCGAGATGAAGACAAAGGCCGGCAAGGAAAGAAAGAGGCTGCCGCTAGCTTGCATTGCCTGCCGGAGAAAGAAGATTCGCTGCTCTGGCGAAAAGCCGGCGTGCAAGCACTGCTTGCGCAGCAGGATACCATGTGTGTACAAGGTCACGACGCGAAAAGCCGCGCCAAGAACTGATTATATGGCCATGCTGGACAAGAGGCTGAAGCGCATGGAAGATCGTGTCATCAAACTCATACCAAAAGAAAGCCTGCCTTCAGTCGCCAATGTAGGCAGATCCGTCGTTAAGCCCGCTATCCCCGGCGCCCCACCCAAAACACCCACCACGAAGAAACGCGCCGCAGAAGAGGCCTTTGGCAACGAACTCGATGAGTGGTCAAAAGCAAGAGGCACAGACCCAAACACAGCCAACTCAACAACCCAGACCAAGGAATCAGATGAAAGCAAGCTCCTCACAGAAGGTGCCGAGAGCTTGCCATCAAAAGAGATGCAGGAGCATTTGGCAGAGGTCTATTTTGACTATGTCTACGGCCAAAGCTATCCCCTTCTTCACAAGCCCAGTTTCATGCGGAAGCTGGCAACAGGCAAAGTCCCGCCTGTACTGATTCTAGCCATGTGTGCCATTTCAGCCCGGTTTTCAAACCACCCGCAATTACGGACAGAACCGTGTTTTCTGCGAGGTGACAATTGGGCAGTACGAGCGCGTGAGATTGCGCTAAAACGATACGATACGCCTAACATAACAATTCTCATAGTTTACTTGTTGCTTGGATTGCATGAATTTGGCACATGTCAGGGTGGTCGGAGTTGGATGTTCGGCGGCATGGCGCAAAGAATGGCATACGCACTGCAATTACACAAGGAAAATGAATACGACCCGCTGGTCAGCGAAGCCGACAGGAAACCTCTGAGCGCTACAGACAGAGAAATCCGGCGGCGGACAATGTGGTCTTGCTTCTTGATGGATCGTTTCAACTCTTCTGGTTCCGACAGACCACTTTTCGTCCACGAGCAATACATTGAAGTGCAATTACCAGTCAAAGAGCACCTTTACATACACGAGATACATGCGCCAACGGAGAATCTCGAGGGCAACGTGCCAAATCCCGTCCCACCTGACAGCGGCCAGCTTTCGAATCCCCGCGATAACATGGGTGTTTCTGCATATACCATTCGACTGGTCTGCACATGGGGAAAGCTGATCAAGTACATGAATTTGGGTGGCAGAGAACGCGAATCCGAGACTATGTGGTCTCCGGGGTCCACATTCCACGCTATCAAAAAGGAAGCCAAGGATTTCAAGGCCGCATTGCCCGAGATGCTCGTGTACACCCCCGAAAACCTCAAGAGCCATGCCATTGGGAAGACCGCCAACTCTTTCCTCTACCTTCACATATTATGGCAGCAAATTATGCTTTTCATGCATCGGTTTGCATTGCCTTCAACCGCAGGAAGTAGGCCCCCTAAGGACATGCCACATGACTTTCTCACAGAATCCGCTCGCGCTGCACTCGACGCCGCGAACCAAATATCAATTCTCATTAACGAAGCCATGGACCATAACGTTTTCGCCCCATTTGCAGGATATTCGGCCTTCTTTTCTTCTACTGTCCATGTCCATGGAGTCTTCTCGAAAAACCCAAAGCTGGAAGCACAATCGAAAAAGTACCTTGCGTATAACGTCAAGTATCTGACAAAGATGAAGAAGTACTGGGGCATGTTTCACTACATTGCAGAAAATCTCAAAGAGTTGTACCGACAACACGCCGATGCGCAGCTTAAAGGGCCCGACACTAGTGGTGAAAACAAGGGTAGGATCTTCCAATATGGAGATTGGTTCGACAGATACCCCCACGGCGTTTCAAAGACGGATTACGAAGATGCGGCTGAATCGAACCAGACCGAGCCAGGCACCGATGCGGTCCTGGGACATAGGAGCGACCTGCAGAGTGTGGAGGAATTCTTCGCCTCGTTATCCCCACCGTCAAAGATCGAGCACCACCGCAAGCAAGCGCGGAAAAACAGAACAAAGTCAATGTCGAAACCCGAACCCCGGTATCAACACCACAACGGTCATTCTCAGCAAAATTCCGTTGCGCACATGCAAGCCCAACAGCACCTAGAACCCGTCAACATGTTCACCCAAGACGACATTCGCAGCGCCATGGCCGCCGGCTACGACTCCGTAAACCTCTTCGTCCAACACCAGCAGCAACAGCAGCAACAGCAACAACAACAACAATCCTCATCCCAACAATTCCTCGCAGACTTCACATCACACCACCAACCCCAACACTCCTCCCTCCCCCTCCTCAACACCTCCCCCTCAATAATCCACCCCTCGCACGCCCACCAACTCGACTCCTCCGCCCACACCGCAAACCTGTCCCCCTTTCCCGACCTAGCATCCGACTTCCACAACGCATACTGGAACCTCGACGCCCTCGGCCTCGGACCTACGAGTAACTTTTTCGACCCCATGAGCAGTTACTTTGTCCCCTTTAACGTGGATCCACCCCCGCAGCAGAGTCTAGGCGATGATGCGGTGTTTGCAGGTCAAGGGCCCGAGGCGTACGGATTTGCGTTGGGAGCGGGGACGCCGGTGGATTTGGATCTTATGCATGGGGTTACGGTTGCGAGTGGTGGGGGTGGTACGGGGATGGGAAGGCACAGGGGTAGTGTTGGTGGTGGTGCTACTGCTGGTGCTGCGAGACCGGGTTTAGGTGGGAGGAGGGGAACGGGATCTGGGGCTTGAATGATTTTGCGACCCTGCCCTTTTCTTTCTTTGTATTTGGAAACATTCATTCGTTGTACTATTTATTTTTTTTTGAGATTTTTTTTTGTGTATTTTGGCCGGGAACGAAAACGATGATCTTGGCAACAAACCCCTTTTTTGTTTTTACTCTTTTTTTTTGTTCTCTAACTTTGATACTGGGGGGGATCTGGGTATGTGTGTGCGCGTGCGATTTAGATACCAGAGAAGACAGAGGGTGGAGTATTTATGGGGGGAAGTTTTTTTGGGTTGGGTGTTGTTGTTTTTTTTTAATGGGACTAATGCCCGGGCGGCGGGATTCATTAGAGAAGAGTTCGCTCGTTCTTTTTTTTTCTATGAATCTTTCTGAATGAAAGAAGAAAAGTCGTGGGTTACTTCTTATCACGTACTACATGGTTTGCATTGGGTGGTTGTGGATGCTGCGTGGTGAATGCTTGTGTCTAGAGGCTTAGCGTGGGGATAATGGTATGTAGTTCCTTTTTGGATATAAGTTGACCTCGCATGTCGGGGTGGTTTTTCTGTTGCGAATAAAAGGTATGATTTTACTTGCTTTCAGTGCGTGAAATGCTTCCTCTAGGCGTTTATGTCTGCTGCATGGTGGGTGTTCGGGTCTCAGCGCCTTGGCGAGGGGGGGGGGGGGGGGCGGAATGGTATTCAGCTTATTGGGATAGTAACAGTCGACTTTCTATAGCAATTGGTTTTTTTGTTATTGTAATTATATGCTTCCATCGCGCTACAAAAGGCATTGCCATCACCCCAAGAACCCGGTTATACAGTGTCACGGAGGCTGTGGCTGTGGCAATCAGCCCCCGCCGAAATGAGGGGCAAGGCTGAGGATGCCTTACGATTATCACTCGACTGATTGAGGACGCTGTGGCGCGCGCTTCGAATGGGGATTTGCGAGAGCTGAGCCTGCGGCGTGTCGGCTAGGTAGCAACTGCTGAAGTTATAAACACGCACCTGGTTCTCTGTTTTCTTGACGCATCTCGCAACCATCATGAGCTCTAACTCATTTAGGGAGAACTGCACAGCAGTGCTAGCAGCCCTTTCTTTCCTACTTCTTCCCTACTACATAACAACTACATCCAAAGAATTCTTACTTTGGATTGCTATTTCGTGCTTCACAAATTGGTGCCTCAAGCTTGTCGTCAACATCGGCGATGCAAAGTCCCAGGAACGTTCTCGTTGGAAGCCTTCTGGAGTACTAGATTTGCTCCGCGGTTACCCTCCTTTAAAAGCGAACGAGATCCGAATTCTGGTTCTCTACCCATCCAAAGACAGAACAGCGCCGCTACAAGGACGGTTCGAGATTTACGATCTCGACAATGGTAGCGACACCAGCGGCAAGGCTGACCAAAATGGGTACGAGGCAATGTTCAACACCAAATTCCCTTCTCACCCTATGGAATTCATGGTCATAGGGTTTAAAGTTGTCTTAATCCCTTTTCATCTGCAACGTGCACTTCTCTGGTTGCGCCATACGCATGAAGAGAGGCGGCTGTGGATCGATGCCATTTGCGTCAAGATGCCTGAAAGAATTACACATACTCAGCTGTTCCCCCAAATCTACAAACGCGCTACGAAAGCCATTGCGTGGACAGGTGAAGTGAACAAAGTAGAAGAGGAGGCTTATCGGCCATTTCTAAAGGCCCTCCAGCGTCCCGGCTCTGTCCTCTGGCTCATACGTAATGGCCGTCTCCCTCATGTATCAGCACTCAAAATGTTGGTCAAACCACTCAGACTTTGGAAAAAGTTTTTCCGTAAAGATCCCCAGTTGTGCAGAGAGTTGATGCTGCAGGGAAAGATCTCGTTCAAGCTGGGACGATATGACATGCCAGCTAGTTCTCTTGCTTTGCTTGTCCGGGACTACATTGAGGCGTTGAAGTTACCGCTATTGAAACGGAGTATTAGTACAATACTTACACCCGATGCAAGTGCTGCTCTCAAAGTAAAAGCTCTTTTGATTGACTACATCGAAGATGTTAGTCATATCGACAAAGCGGAGCAGTACGATAACGGGCCATTTCCTAAGGCTTGGATCGCTTTAGGTGGTGTTGAAGAGCTTTTGACAATGCTCAAGCACAGCGGCAAAGGTTCGGTTTCTCGAAATACCTTGAAGAATCTCTCCAGCCTTTTAGACAGGGCCTACTCTCAATCTGAACAGGACCTGAACCCATCTTGTCGATCTGAAGCATACAACACATATGGCGGTCTTATCGAACAGATGAAAAGGGCCACGCGCGGTCACCGGCTGTTCAAAACAGCTCATCTATCAAGGTTAGGGCTGGCTTCGCCTGGCGCACAGAAAAAGGATGGTGAGTGAATAACTCAATTTTCCCACAGGCCCTTTAACCATCTAACGACGACAAAGCGATCTTCTTTGTACCCGAGCACTCGGCACTCTTGACTCTCCGGGCGTTCCATCCATTGTCTACCCAGCCTTTGGGCGCACAGCAATACTATACTCTTACTGGCGCATGTTATATGGGCGATAACGAGTATTGGAGCAAGGTGCACCCCCATCTGGCCAACGTACCTTTGAGGGCGGTATACATAATGCCAGCAACGCAAGAAAAAGAGGTGCAGCGGAACGATAATAGCAGTGCAAACCCAGGTCATTTCGTTCTCCCGAGCCGAGTAGATCTTGCACGCAGCAACTTTGGCAAAGACATCATTCAGAGAAAGACGAAGGCGAACGTCCAAGTTGGGAACAAGACTGAAAAGCCGCAGGCCGCAGCTATGGTAGACAAGCGCTACCGATTATCTTGGAAATGTGTGAGTGATTTGGACGGCTTATTCATACGCTTCGCTAACTTGAAAAAGAAATGCGGACATCGGGGACTTGACTACTACATTGAGCATCGGCCCGGTGCGGTACGTGAACTCCTGGAAACGTTTCAAGAACATGGTATAAGAGCTTCTTTGGAAGCATGTAATCTATCTCAGTCCAACCCACCTTCTTCACAAACCATTTTTGAGAGACTTCGGATGTCCATTGCAAACATATGCACTTGGATTCTATTTTGCATTCTTGCATGGCTGGGTATCGAAAAATGGAGATCTCTGTCGCTACCAGCTATGGATCCTCGACTCTCAGACGCGGTACACAACAAAAGTCCCTCCTCTAAAGCGACTAATGGGCCAACGAATGGGAGTTTGCCATCAAACTCGAGTGTAAATGTCGATCCCAGCAATTCCAACGAGCCACTTCATACTTCGACAGGTCTCTCCACAGCTTCTCAGGCAACATCAGGAGGACAGCACCGGCACTCCTCGTCTTCAACAACTAGCACTCGAGTGAACAGCACCAATATCAACATACCAGAAGACTTCATCCTCTTATGCATGAAGGTCAAGAGATTCTTAACGAACCGTCATGACCTCCGTGTTTCAACAATCACTCGAGATCGCGAGCTCTTCGAAGCGTTACGCCGTGAGTACCACTCAAAGTTTCGGTGGGCCTACCGCCAATTCAGCTTCCAGACCGTACAACGAATGAGCTTTGTCAAGGTAAGATTCCCAATGCAAAAAATAGGTGTTGTTTCAAGCTCACAGGTCCTACCTAGTTTACTCTACACGCTCGCGAAGAAGTCGATGGCCTCGTCTCTGATATGCCACCGGAGATTGTCAAGCACTACACATGTGATCCTCGCAAACCAGACCGTACGCCGGCATTGGGTAGTGACTTTCTCATGCATCGCTTCAGTTCGCCTAAGGATTGCTTCCAAGACGATATTTGTCTTAGGCAGTTCCCAAAACGTATCGGGGAGCGCCCAACCCCGGGCGTAGATCCCGACCTCTACACGGGATGGGGCGTGCATCTCGAACAAGACATGGATCTACAGCGCATCTGTCTCGTTCTATTTTCCGGCATTGCATCTGCAGGCACGTTTGGGCTCGTATGGGGTATATGCAAGAAAAGCCTGCAAGACGGTTTCTCCATAGCGAGTTTCGTGCTCGGAAGCGAAGCCATCGCCGTCGCTACACTCCAATTATTTCTTTCTTTGGGCGCCATGTGAAGAATCAAAGTCCCAAGGATCCCTAAGTCACACATGTCTCATTAGCAGTTGCAAGCAATAGTATGAGCAATACCTATCCGAAGCGCCAGTATACGGGCAAGTGCATGAAGATGTCAAAATCGCCAAAAGAACCCACTGGCCCTATACATTACCCTCCTAAGACCAAACTCCAAACTTCCACGTTTGACACATTCAAAAATCGATTTCAAAAAAAAACATCGCGTCTCCTTCCCCATTTCGTCCTCGTCCCCCGAACACCCAGGCTAAGTCACAAAACTCCCCCACTTCGATCTCGCCTCTCTGCAATGACTAAACACTAAATACCCACCACCGTCACATCTCTACTCCACGTTCTCGGGTCACAGTGGGGGGGGGCCCTTTGTAAGCAAAGCCCTCAGGAGCGGGCCGGAGACACATTGCATGCATTAAACAGAAAACGGAGTCTAAGGTATTCGAAAGTGAGGGTCTGGGAAGAAAACCAAGGCACAACAAGTTTGAAGATCGACCTTGTTCTTGTTTGATGAAACGCTAGTGGCGACACGGGGACTGCGACAACCGCGCTGTGGAATGGGGTTTCTCTGCTCCTTGGTGACAAAACACCTGACAAGGGGCTGCATCTTTTTGAAAAAGTTTATTTTTAGGGATTTGCGATGATTTGGGGTTGGGATTGGTCGGGCAATGTGTTTGGGAGGTTGTATGTGTGTGAGTGTGGCGTTGGGTGTTGGATGGTTGGTGATGGTCGTGATGATGAAACGGGTTAGGCGCGAGACTAGGCTAGCTTGATGCGGTGGGTTTTTGTAGACTACACGCTGATGGGTTTGACAGCGTAGACAGGTGTACGATATTCTTCTTCCCGGATTCCGTCGTTCTTTTACTATAATTCTTTGACATATGAATAATCAAGTTGCTACTGAACAACTACGTGACAGCAATCACCTAATAGCGATTTTACTATGAACAAACTACTCCCGTCCCGTCCCCCCCTCTCTGTCTCCCTGTTTCGCATATCTCAAAACCTCACGCATGAAAAACCATCACTCGCACGCCTTGGCGCCTGGGATCCTCAGAACATTCCCGCAGGCCCATCTAGCTAATCACCACTCCGCCACAGTGATTTACACGCCAAGCCCATGTTTTGGACCCCCTCTTCCCGCCCCGCTGGGAAGCGGCCAACACAAGCGCAAAGCCTCAGACCAAACACGCCTCACGACACAGGCGCCGCAATGCCTGATGTCGATTTTTGTTACTCGATAGGGACGTCGGGTGCGGTGAGTGGAGACTTAAGGTTTCCCTGGCAAGTCGCAGGGCATGGCGGCTATGAGGCCGAATGCAGAATGCGGTGCGAATGAATGATCTACGCCTACCTCTGTATGACATATCTTGTTCGTGAATTTGTGAAGGAAGGATTTGTATAAGAAGAGCGGAGGGAAACGTCGAGTCAAAGGTATCCGCAGCACAATCTTGCCTTGTGTCGATCACTCTACGATTCTTCTTAGCCTGGCGCTTTCTTATATATATTCCTACATATATATATCCCTTTATATCTTTCTTTCTATCCGCATATCTGGGATAGACAAACCGAGTTGATCTCGCCTCCCTCCCCAACTAAACTTTTATATCTATTCGAACTACAAGAGAAGCAAAGATGTACTTCCCACACACCCTCCTCCTCGCCCTCACAGCCGCAACCACCATCTCCGCCCACGGCGTCGTCACCGAAGTCAAAGGCGCAAATGGCGTGACCATGCCTGGTTTGACAATCCAAGACGGAACACCACGTGATTGCTCCTCCAAGTAAGCCCCATACATCCTTCCCCCTCCCCCTTACAGGTCAGGCGTGAAAGAAGAAGGCTAACATAGCAAATAGTGGATGCGGTTCCCAAGCCGACACAGCCATCATCCGCGACCGCGAAATCGCAAGCGGCAAAACTGGTCCCCTGGGCCGGACGCAAGGCAACGGCAACGTCGATGCTGCAGTCATGGTCGGCGCGTTCATGGGGTCCGGGGCTGCGCCGCCGGCAAACCAGGGCGCATCGGGGAGTGTCGGGGTTGAAGATGATATCCCCCAGAATGCACAGAATGCAGGTGCAGGCACGCAGCGGAAGCGCCAGTTCCTCAGCAACCTTCTAGGGGGACTGGGAGGTGGAAAGGGTGGTGCTGCCGCGGGCGGTGGTGCAGGCGGTGGTGCAACTGGAATTGCCGGGTTGTTTGGAGGTGGTGGTGATAAGGTTAATGGGCCGCCTGAGGCAAGGGTTGCTGCTGCTACTGGAGCGGGAGCGACGGGGGGTCTGCCGACATGTGCGGATGATGGGACGGTTACTATGACGCTTCGTCAGGTAAGTTGCTTTGGTGCTCAGCTCGATGACAAACTTCCTAACAGCCTTTAGATTAACCAAGATGGCGCGGGTCCTTTCACAGCAGATGTCGACGGTACATCTGGTGGCACTGATGAAGCTGCCATGCAGCCTGCCACTGTCACTCAGGACGTCCCTGGTCTGGGTGTCCAGGGCATTTCTCTGGCAACCAACACCGAGTTCGAGATGAAGGTCCAGATGCCTGCCGGTATGACTTGCGATGCGACTGTTGCTGGTGTCAACAATGTCTGTGTCATGCGTGTCCGCAACGGTGCAGCTGCTGGTCCCTTTGGTGGCTCTGTTGCCTTCACCCAGAGCACTGCGGCCAAGAAGCGTGCTCTTGCCTACAGGCTCAAGAAGCGTATGGAAATTGGCCGCCTGCCCTAAAGTCGCTTGGTTCGATGAATGTTGGAGGACGGGCTAGACGCCTGGAGCCTTTTCTATAGCACTGACTGGATCAGTGTTTAACGACGATATATTAGAAAAAATATGTATAGTAGTGTAACGAGTGTTTAAATATTACGATTTTTATGAATATTGCTGTTCTTGAGTGTTCTATTGTGTGATAAGAGATAATGAGTGGACTACTTCCTATACTCGTATATTATACAACTTGGAGCAGTATCAACAGTTGTGAGACGTAACGATTAGCTCACGAGCCCCTGTCTCGCCAAGACCAGAGTAAATGTGAGAAGAAAATGCACAAGAATCATTCTGTATGGAACTAAGGAAAAGATTCTTAGGCTTTTTCTGTGGCTGACGGCCATGTGATGGCAAACTGAGGGTGTGCCAGTGACATCCAAGTGGACAGGAAGGTCCGAACCTGCCGTGCCCACACCCGAGTCATTGCAAACTCTGAAGCTGAAACTCTGGATATAGAGCCCGCGGAGTTTGCAAATCTAGAACGCGGGATTTCAGCCAGCCTATGACAGCAAAATGATAGCAAAATCCACATCACAAGCTTCGCATGGAGAAGTGGCGCCAAGTTGTAGCCTTCCGCTAAACCCTCTTCAGACCGAACCTATCGTTTCCGCCCACTTTCCCCACCACCCCAATCCATCGTCCACCCACCTTGCTCGATAGCAAATGTCGCCATCCTCCATGAGCAACTGGCATTTCTTTCTCTCCGCAGAATCTTCACCAATCACTAATTTTAAGATACGACAGTATCGGCGTTAAACAAGCCAACAACCGGTCCCTGCAGTACCGCCACAAAAAAACGATTGTCTTCCCTCTTATCGCGCAATCAGCCGTGAAAATCGCAACATGCACACCAAGACCCCAGCCGCCTGTCATTCGCCCCCAGTCAACTTTCCGCCAAGTCAAGTCTAGAAAAATAATGCGCTTATATAAACATGGATCCTTCTACGGCAATCATGTACATAGTATGCTTTTCTTGAGCTTTTTGCTCTCTTAGTTGAAATATATTTCACAACGACCGCCGTCAGGCTTGTACGTCATGGCCCTCTTCGACTCCAAAGCCGCAGCGGGCCCCGCCTCACCGGCCGCAAGCTACAACAACGAAGATGGTGATTTCCAGCGAATGGATCCAAGCGGTGTCAAGCGCGGACTCAAAACCCGTCATTTGAGCATGATGGCTCTGGCTGGAATCATCGGTCCCGGTATCTTGGTTGGAACGGGAGGTGCGCTTGCTCAAGGAGGTCCAGCGTCGCTGCTCATCGGATTCGGCATCATTGGTATTATCGCGTTTAGCATTACGCAGTCGCTGGGCGAGATGACGACGCTGTATCCGACGGGTGGAGCGTTTGTTACGCTTTCTGAGCGCTTCGTGGACAAGGCTTTTGGGGTTGCGGTGGGATGGCAGTACTGGTTGGTGTGGGCGTGCGTGCTGGCGAACGAGTACAACGTCATTTCGTCGATTATGGTATTCTGGGGCCCGCAGGTGCCGCTATGGGGCTACTTTCTCATCTTCTGGTTTGCATTCTTGGGCTTCCAGATGCTCGGCGTCGAATCGTTTGGAGAAGCGGAGTTTTGGCTTGCGCTGGTCAAACTTGTTGGGCTGTGCACTTACTTCCTTTTCGCCATCATTTACGCATCGGGAGGACTAATTGGGCAAAAGGAGGCGATTGGCTTTCGATACTGGCACGACCCTGGTCCTTGGGTGAATGGATTTCGCGGAGTAGCAACTGTCTTTGTTTTTGCTTCGACGTTTTACGCGGGTGTGGAAGCTGTTGCTGTTGCGGCAACCGAGACAAGAAACCCATCTGTGGCGGTTCCTCTCGCAATTCGACAGGTCATCTGGCGCATTCTGTTTGTCTACATGGGAGTGGCATTCTTCTTTGGCCTCACTTGCCCTTCGAATGCAGATGGACTCGCGAATGGAAGCAGTCGTGCGTTGAAGAGTCCGATGACCATCGCGCTGCAGAATGCTGGCTGGGAAGGAGGAGTGCATCTTATCAATGCTTTCATCTTCATCACCGTCCTGAGCGCGGCGAACAGCTCGATTTATATCGGATCTCGGACTATACTTTTCATGGCACAACAGAAAATGGCGCCGAAATTTCTTGGAAAAACAAACAGCCGCGGCGTACCAATCTACGCCATTGTTTTCACAAACCTAATCGGAGCCATTTCCATGATGAACGTCAGCACGGGAGGAGGAAAGGCATATTCCTATATTGTCAACCTGAGTGGTGTTTCCACCTTTCTCGTTTGGGGCGCCATCTCCTTTACCCACATTCGCTTCCGAAAAGCCTGGAAAGCTCAAGGCCGGACTCCAGACGCTCTACCATTCAAATCCTTTCTCTATCCCTGGAATGCCTACTTTGGACTTTTCGCCAACATCTTTCTCACTCTTGTTCAAGGCTGGACCACTTTGAGCCCATTTAATGCTGGGAACTTTGTCGATGCTTACATTATGATTCCAGTATTTGCAATCATCTACGTCGGCTACAAGGTAGTGTTCAAGACGCAGTTCTGGAGGAGTGAAGAGATTGATTTGGACTCGGGCAGGAGAAAGGATCTTGATGCGAGAGATGTGTATGTACATGGCGAGCCACACAGCGAGCAAGGGGGTAAAGCAGGATATCTACGGGATCTTTGGCGCAAGCTATGAGCGATGTATTTGCTATTTTGAGGGTCGGAAAGTGGCGCAGGCGTTTAGATTAATAGCCCTAGGTAGATGGATCTGTGGCTGAGGATGGATGTCCCACCGCAGTATTCCTAGCCCCGCTTTCTTTCCATTCACATCGCAAGGCACTTGCATAGATCACATTAATTCATATTCATACAACAAGGCCATAGTTCCTTTCCAACAATGTCTCATTCTCCAACAATTAAGTGTAACAACCAACAATTCGCCCCCAAACCCAACATATCCACTACCTAACCATCACACCCCGACGACCCTCCGAAAACCCCAACCCCAAGTTCCAGTGCCATCGGTAGGATCACGTACCCTGTCCAACCGCGCATCATAGACCACTCTATTAGGCAGATCTCAAAATAAAACCCCCGGGGGTCCAAACAACCAATTATAATGGATGCCTAACGGCCCCCAGCCACCCCTGCGCCGCAACGCTACATCATGCAGGTGCGAGCCTCAAAAAGTTGGCCTCGTGTCGAACATTCATAGTAGTGCTATTTAGCATACTTGGTACTTTTATCGTCGCTTTCATCGTAAAACTTCTGCCTTTTGCTGTATACGTTTGGACCTGCTTGCTAAGAGTCGATTTCGTTGTTTCTGGTTGAACGACAAGTAGTAGCTGCTTGCAAGATCTGGAAAATGGAACTGGTGGCGGGAAAACCGCGACAGAGGGCTTGGAAGCCCAAGGCAAGGTCGGGATGTAAGACGTGCAAGTAAGTTATCGAGATTTTGTATGGAGAAGGTGGAGAGAGATGGATGTGGTTGATTTTGGTAGTATGATGGGGTGGGTTCATGACACAGTTCTATGGCCAAGGACTCGATATATTCTGTCCAAGCAGCAATTGTCCTGTCGAATACGGAAATGCAGAGGAAATTTCCAAGAGAAGATTTAAAGTGAGACTTGGACGAAGGTATGCTAACAGATCCACAGAATTCGCCGTATAAAATGCGACGAGCAAAAACCTCACTGTACCCGCTGCACCTCCACCGGCCGCACCTGCGACGGCTACGACTCAAACTTCCGCTCACCAAAACCCATCACCTCGTCACCCGCAGAAGCTCAAAATCTCCTGTCATCATTCTGCTCAGGATCTACCCCTCGCACCCTCCGCAGTCACCCCGCAGTCCCCCTCCCCCTCGCCCCGGCTCTCCCCTTCTCCACCACCGAAGAAAAATCCAGTTTCTCCTTCTTCACATCCCACGCTATCCCCAAACTCCGCGGCTTCCTCGACTCCCCCTTTTGGCAACGCGAAGTGCTCCAAGCCGCGCACCGCGAACCCGCAATCCAGCACTGCGTCATCGCCCTAGGTGCCATGTACCGGCGCTTCCACGAAGGCTCGCACTCGCATATTCGGGAGAGCGCAATGGCGCACCAGCACCTGCAATTCGCCTTCCTCCAGTCCAACCGGGCTATCAAAGTCCTCCTAGAGAAATCTGGAGCGGGGGATTCGAAGACGTCGGGGAAAGACAAAATGACCTTGATGACATGTGCGATTCTCTTCAGCAGCATGTGCTGTCTCCAAGGCTACCAGAAACACGCTGTCGAGCATTTAAGGAGTGGGATTCGCATGCTGAACGAGATGGATGATGCAGGGGAGACAGCAGTCACGGAGCACGCTGTAGAGCTGGAATCGCTTCGCACAATTTTCGTAGCGCTGGACGCGCAGATACGGGCTATTATGCCGTCTGCGCAGTCGAGGAGCTGGGTGAAGAAACCGAAAGTCAAGTCTGGAGGTCAGGCGTTGGAGGCGTGCAAGAAGCTGAGTATGGCGAGCTTGCAAGGGGTGCTGAGGCATATGGAGTGTTTGCTTAGCCATATCCATGCGTTTAACCAAAAGACGTTTCTGAGGGGGCCGGGGGAAGAGGAGCAGGTTGGAGTGGAGTTGAGGGAGCTGGTGGAGAGGTTTCATGCTGGGGCGGTGGTAATGAAGAAGTTGTGGGGGGAGGCGGAGAGGGGGAGTCGACGTGACGAGTTTACACAGCCGCTTATTGCGCTTGAGCTGATGCAGTGCCAGATGGAGTATTTGCTGCGGTTGCCCCGGGCGGATATCGTGGCGAGATTCCCTTGCTTGGCTGCGTTCCAGCATGCTAAGGAGCCATTCACGACGCCGTTTGACGAGGCGGCATTGTTTGCCAGCATCTTTGATCTGTGTGATCAGTTGTTGGTTGTGCCGGGGAATAAGTCTACGCCGGTTTTTATGACTTCAATGGGGCCGACGGCGGCATTGTGGTTCATAGCTATTCGAGCGCCTGCTTCCTGCCAGGCACTACGGCGGCGTGCTGTCGGGTTGATGCTGAGCCATCCTCGAAGAGAAGGCTTCTGGGATGGCATGGTCGCCGGTTGGATAGCGGATGAGGCTTTGTCGCTCGAGCAGGAACGTACGAGAGCGGAACTGAACATTTTCAGTAACGATGCAGTGGGTGATGTGGAGGTTCCGAAGCACCTGCGCATCATCTCTTTTTGGCTGACGTATCCTGACGACGAGGATCGAAAAGTAAGAGTTGGGTTTTCGGATGCAGGAGATTTGGCTGTGGGGGTGCCAGGTACTGTCAAGTGGTTTACCTGGTGATTACATCCCGCGATTGGAAATGTTCTGTGCATCTGCAAGCTATACTATCAATAAGATATCCAAAAGCCACACAATACACAATGAAACGCATATTCTTATCCCATGTCAAAGGAAGATTCGCCTGTAGATTGTTCAGTAGATCACTAGCTTCCTGGTTAAGCGCAGCCATAGGCGTACGTTGTAATGTATAGTACAAGTCATAAACATAACGAGTTGATGGATTCGCTCAAGGGCTAGCATGTGCCATGGAATCCTCATCACGCATCGTATGGAACGCTCGTCAAAAAATCGTCCAAATCAAGCACGCTCAATGACCCACTTGCCCTTCTTGCAACATTGGGGCCGCCCTCTGCTGGAAGATCTCCCCTCTTCCAATTGACCCAACTCGTACTCACGATACGACTCCATGGTTTCGGCCTTGCCGTCAACTTAAGCCCCGTGCCCAAGTTACACCTCAACACTTTCATATCAATCTTGCCGCCGCAGATGCTGCGCAGGATGTGAGTGACGGGGCTGTTGTCGTCACCCCAAACGCAGCTATACGTATTCTCCCCCGGAAAGAGGATACGCGCCGTGAATTTTGTAAGTGACCCAAGGGTTTTAGGCATTATGGTAGATACGAGATGTGCGAGGGCAACTGGAGCGTGTGTTGCAGTAGATTTGGAAAATACGGGGAAAGCTGTATAGATGTGTGTATTGTGGCGTGATTGGCATGGGAGTGGTGCGCCCATGCGGAGGCGTGGACGAGAGGGGCTTCTATTTGCGCCGTGGCGGGGAGGCCGTCTTGCGGAATTGCTGGGTGTAGCTATAAAGCTCGTCGTAGGGCCCGATACTGGCGTGTTGAAAGAAGGTATTGCAAGGCTGCTTGATGGTGTCAAATGCTCACTATCGCTAGGATCTGGGACAGTTGGCTCTTCTTCGAGAAGAGGCGTGTAGTAGCCAGAAACGTAGACTCTCCGCGCTTGCTTTAGCAAGTACGGATACTGGCTCTTCAAGACCAGAACTCCGTATGGGTATGATACATGGAGTGATATGCCTTCGGCGTTCTCTTCATCGTCCAGAAGAACACCGTCGTCATCGTACTCAGCTCGCGCATCCAACATATGCTTTCGCCTCCGCATGCAATCCCTCAGCTCATCATTGACCAGATGAGAGGTCAATGACAGTGCCAATGGAGCTGAGAGCCCCAGATTCTCGTCTGCAACATTGTCCATTTGTCCATCTTCAAGGTCGATCTTTGGAGGTATCGCGACGGAGAGGAGGGATGCGACATGGCCGCGTCGTGCTATCGGAGCGAGATGAAGTGGCAAACCCGGGATCTCGGTCTTGCGAGCGCGATCTTGTATCCGAGTACCATGGAAAGTCGTGTATGCGGCGCTGATAGTAATGGCGTATGATTCAGCAAGCAAATAATCGTAGATCTGACATCGTATCTCAGTGGGCAAGGACAAGAAGCCACTGTAAGTGCTGTCTGGCGTGTCCATGACGTGTAGGCAGGGAAGCTCAATGCAGCTGCGTGATTCGTAAATGGTGTATTGTAATATTGAGATGCTTGGAGAGTAGGAAAGCAGAAGTGGTGATGTAGACGATGTCAAGGTTCAAGTAGAATATGGTAACGATGTGGTGGGTGCAAGTATGTAGGCGTAACTAGCTATGCAATGCCAGACGTAGTGTACCGTGGGAACAGCGTGTCAAATCTATGGGAACAGAGGACCATTCATCTTAAAGCACGTGCGATGAAAAGTGTACCCAAAAGTCGGCGTCGAAGTCGACGTTGTCCTGGGCAATGCGGCTTGTGGAGGGACGATCGACTCTTGTCGAATGGGACGTGTGGGGATGCCGGCGGTGAAACAAGCAGGTGGCCTGCGCGGGCGAGTCACGGTGGCGGGCCGGCAGCCTCACGCGACGAGGCGGGTCACCCTCCCAGGCACATGTTCACAATGTCCAATCATACATTACCAGCTGGTGTTTGTGGACGCCAAGCTGTCACAGAAGATGACTCTTTGTTAGACAAAAGCAAAAGTCATCTGTCGGCTCACGTGTTGTTCTGCTCGAGTGATGTTTACCTATGGGCCGTGCCCAGAGCCGCAACTACGGGTGGCGATTTCGGCCCAAAGGTCGCAATTCAAACCCGTTAAGACTAGAACTAACGATGATAAAAATCAAAATCTGAATCTACTAAAAGAAACACTAGTAGAGAATACAAAGTAACAAAGCGTTTTAAGCTAAACTAGCTACTTAGATGTATACTTATAGGTCTAGCTAGGCTGGCTGCCTATACATATGCTTATAGATCTGGCTGCACCAGTGTTACAAGTAACAAGAAGGATTCTCTCCTTGACAAATGACGAGATGGCTGAAGGCCTAGGGACGTCCACGTCAGAAGGTAATGATCATCGCG